AGATAGATAGATAGATAGATATAGACAGACAGAGAGAGAGATAGATAGAGAGAGACGTATAGCAATAGAGACAGACAGACAGATAGTGATAGAGACAGATATATATTTTTCTCCAGCCTATCAACCCATAAATAGATATATATATATTATGTCCACACGTATTTATGTGTATGCAAATGAGAATGTGCGCGTGTACCTGTATGATGTATGTAAAATACTGTGTTGGGTCTTAAGGGGGCTCTGAATTTTCAATTATACATAACCAATGTATATATTTTATTTTTCAGTCATCGATGTAGAAAAATATTGAAGACGCTTTTAGCTAAATCTTTCATCGCATTCTCGCCAGAATCCTCTTTCGCCTGACATCAAAGAATAGCGTCTGTCAGTTTCAATCCAATTGTTTTGTGGTCGGCAAGTTTCAACCATTATTTTAAAACATTAATATATCCAATTCACCCAGGACGCACGCACGCACACACACACACATAAACACACGTACTTTTGTTTCTTTGAAGCCAAACATTCCATGAAGCAACAGGATTTGTCTTCACTTTTAATCTTCGCTAAAAACTTTCGCTGTTGATGCTTGCTTTTAATCTTCTAAAATGATCACGTGACCCGTTTGTTCTCGAAAAGCAATCCTCGGCGCGAAACTATCGAACACATTCGCGCTGCGCCTGCAGCTTTAATTTACACTTCAACAGACAGTCTGAACTTTACTTCCTGCCCCCCCCCCACGACGGCCATCACCAACTCCACACGACCATCGCCCCTGTTCCGCAACGAATTACGGTATTAATCATGTTATACCTATTATAACTTATGCTAAATGTCATCAGTGTGGAGTTGTTGTACATCTAATGATATAAGAAAAATATCCCGTGACAAGACGGTCGGATATTTAACGTCCTGGTAAGAGCGAGGTGAAAGACTTGCAATGGAGTCTTTTATTAATTTCCTGTTGCTCCGAACCAAAATAAAAATTCTCTCACACACAAATAAAACAGCATACATTCAAAAAGACATTTATTCATTGAAATGCATCTGTGTATTGAAATGTTATGATACGTAAGCAAGAAAAGATCAAATCTATTTAGTGTTTTGTTTGTCCTTTGTTTTAAGTGTCTCTTGAAAGTAAAATGTAGCTTACGGCCAAATCACGTTGAAACATTGGTTCTTCTCTGATCACCGAAGATAAGCAATGTTGAGTCAGATCAATAATTAGATGGGTGACAACTTGAGAATACCAGATGCTGTAAGAATTTACTATTAACTAAACAATATCTATCTATCTATCTATCTATCTATATATATATATATATATATATATATATATATTAAAATAATAAGAAATAACAGTAAGATTTATAATCCGATGTTCTTAGCAATTACTTTTATTTTAAAAAACAACAAAACAGTGTTTGATATAAACAGTAGAGCATTATATTATAATTATTTTCTTTTTTTAAATCTAAAACTATGATTCCATCGCGACACAGAAATTTCTATGTTTCAAAACTGAAAAATAAAACTGTAAATTTAATTATAAAAATCAAACTTAAAATCCATAGTCTCGTTCCAATATCAAGCGATGATAGGAATAAACTTTCAAAGAAATCTACTTAATTTATACGTGTAGACAATATTAATATTGGTTAGGTTTAAGAAAAATCTATTTTAATTTACGGGTGGCTGGGTTTTAATCTCCCTAGACAGATTATGTATCCAATATATGTTACTTACAAAGTCAGGTTAAGATTAGGTGGGATGGGGGTGCCTGCTAACAATCGTATACTTCCGTTCTTCAGTGAGTCGTCTTGGTTTCCAATGATAAAATAATTTAGGCATTTTCATTCATCCGCTTAATTAGGCGAATGATATATATATATATATATATATATATATATATATATATATATATATATATATAAAGAGACAACTAGCATATAAATTAATTTTAACTAAATGTAAAAATAACGGAAATGAGAAAATCTGCAGTCAGTTGCTGAAACTTCCTGACGAGTGAACGGAACGATTGCAAAATCTTTCATCTACGAAACTCCAGGGTCAAGATGCTGAATATACTCAATCAGGTGTATATATATATTTTTGTATGGCTCCGAGTCGTAGACTCCATACAGGTACCATATACGCCAGCTAGATGTTTTCCATAAAAGCTGTCTGCGTGCAATCTGGGGAGTTAAGCTTCAAGATAGGACATCTAACGTAGACCTGTTTAACAGGTGTAATATTGGAGGAATCAAGACTTTTATTATACACTCTCAGTTACGGTGAACTGGTCATGTCTTGAGAATGCCTGATGACAGGATACCCAAGATCCTAATGTACAGCCAGTTAGATCAGGGCTACAGGAATGTAGGACGCCCATGGTTAAGATACAAAGACAAGCTGAAAAGCAACTTGTCAGCAGTCAATATACCACATAACACCCTTGAGTGCTTAGCTTTGGTGCGGGTAGAATGGAGATCAACTTATTTTAGTGGACTCAGCAATTTTCAATCTGCTTGTCTGAATCATCAAGAAGCGAGAGCAAGATCTAAAAGGTCAACCCATCTAACAGTGATCTCATTTCACAATCCTCACACTTGCTCCATATGTGGCCTCCTTTGTAAATCACTAGCGGGTCTTAAATGCCACTTAAGATTATCGCACAAACTTTCATAACTGAATCAATAAGCTGTCAGATCATCATACGTCGAAACCGACGGGAGAGTCCATTATATATATATATATATATATGTGTGTGTGTGTGTGTGTGTGTGTTTGTGTGTGTGTCACGTTGAAACATGTGGCATAATGGATAACCGTTCGTAATTAGAAATTGGAGAGCAGAGATCGAATTCCAGTCGAGTTCGGTATATACTCTTGACATGTACAGACTGGTCACTATAGACTTGGTTGGTAACTAGTCGAGAAGAAGGAAAGCTGAATTTATTTGGCAAGGGCAGATAATCTTCTCAGAGGTGTCACTGGCCAACATCCAGCTAGGAAAAGGAAAATTCCTTTACCAAACTCTGAACTAGTGCACTGTATAATACAGATGATATTACAATCACAGGTCTTTTGCGGAATAGGTGTTTAATCATTTTCATTTTATGGTATTCCCATAAATGACAGAATGTACAACACTGAAATCTGAAAGCCCATTGCATTGAGATAACGAAAGTTGCCTTCCAGAAGCTAAGCAAAGTATTAAGAAACAGCTTAATTTCGTTAGAAAAAAAATAAAAGAGTACTGAATTGTTACGTAATAACGGTCTTCATAAATGGCAGTGAATGATGGATGATCTGTTCGCAGTGAAGAATATGCTTGAAGCAACAGAAATCTGGTTCTACAACAGAATGCTGAGAATACCATAAACCGAACATGTGACAAACGACGAAGTTCTGGAGACAGTGGAAACAAAAAAAAAGAAACATATTTAACATCAGAGACACTTGATATTTCTAGGGCATTTGATGAAGAAAGAGGGTTTGGAAAATCTGATACTCACAGGACTGATTGAAGGCAAGAGGGACAGAGGAAAACAACACATGACCTCCCTAGTGAGTTTGAGTAAATAAATGGCGGAGCAAGGTTTAGGAGAGATAACAAAAAGATAAGATTTATTAAGACTAACAAAGGACAGGGAACTGTGGAGAACCATGATCGTCTATGTCCTGAAGGGACATGGTACTTAGAAGAAGAATTTATTCCGAATTTAGGGTTGAATCGATGTGAATTTGAGTCATATGCGTAGTGAATAATTTGTATTTAGGATAGGATAATTAAAAAATTTTCTTAAATAAATTGTTAATTTAGCGAAACTGTTTTGGCGTCAAAAAGCTAAGCAAGTTACTGAGAAACGGAAAAATTCGTTAGAAATCAAGAAAAACGTACTCGATTGCTACGTGGTATTCATCCTCTTATATGGCAGTAAATGTTTGACAATTCCGCCATGGATGAGAGAGAAAAAAAACTAGAAGCAGCAGAAATGTGGTTTACAGAAGGATACTGAGAATTCTATGGACGGAGCGAGTAAACAACAAGGATGTCTTAAAGAAAATGGCAACAGAAATAGCATTTATAACCCAAATCTCCAACAGTTTTTCATATGATCAGATTTCCTCAAAAAGTTAACACTTGTTCGTACTTATAGATCGGGTACGCTACAAAGACATTTTTGGAATTGATCAAAGAGAAGTGATTTAGTTATAATTATATTGAGTGTAATATAAAATGGGTGTGACCTAAGGAATGTATTGGGTAACAAAACCACTAGTAATGCTTGAGAAGTTGAAACTCTGTCTTTGCTGAAATACAGAGGGTGTCGTTGAAGATGAAGCGTTGAATTGCAATGAAATAGTCAATTCCGAGAGATATTGTCGTTAACTGGATAAATTTTAGTCTTAGTTGAAAAAGCCAGCTTTACTGATCAATATGAAAGTATTTATTCTTAAAATTTAGCGCTAAAACACATATTGCAAAGCGCAGGTAGAAAAGATTTAGGTTCTGAATATGATATTGCTCTCCTACGTACAGTATTTTTTCAGTAACCTTTCTGTTAATTCAAGTCCCTTCTTCGTCTGAGGAGATTGTCCAGTATTCATTATCATAGAGGAGGATTGATATTACGTAACAGTTCAGTTTCGTTTCATGGCAAGAGATCGAATACAAACACCTAGGGATCTCAATATCACTTTTAGACATTTTTCTAGATGCCATGTGACTTCATGACGTAAATGGTTATGACTCTCCATATCTTCCTTTTTTTTATTTCTATGAACTATCATCGCTTCTTTGGGAGATAGCGTAATAGTTTCCCATGGCCTTGTCTGTGGTATTGAAATCAGTGTTGTTCTTTTTCAGTTCGGCTGCTTAATCCTTGACAGTAGATGGGAAGAGATGGATTGTTTTCTTTCCTAGAGAGCAATAGTACTAAATGAACGCAACTGACTCGGGTGGAACTTGAACCCTAACCCACTAATCGCTACGC